CCGAGAGGGCGGAGCCGCTAACAAATATGCACACACACAGGTTTACAACAGCATTGTGACATCATAATGTACCCGTTTACATCATAGCATACCTCTTAACCAACAGCAGTGGCAGTTTTAAATTCATATACAGTGCAGAGTTTTTACCTGACAACGGCACAACACTGACAGTTTTAAGCAGAATATTTAAATTTTAACTAAGATGCACTGAAGTGCCAAATTATTGACTACACATGTCTGCTGCACAATTAGACATTCGTTTATTTAGTTTATCAGCAAAAAAAAGTTGATTTGGGGGTGACTTGCTCTTTAATACTAATTTTATTATAATAAATAAATTAATAATAATAATAATAATAATAATAATAAAAAGATCTATGCAAGCATTAACCCTAACCCTGATCTCCCAGTCCCAGGGCAGACACAACCACTAGACCACTGAGAAGTTAATTTGATTTTAGTAGATTATGCATCTTCCCAGTTTTGTCCCCATTTTATGACGTATTCAGGGACCAGCGTGCTCAGCCACTCCACCATGTTTGGTAAGTGGTAGACCCATCCGAACAAACCGTGATACAGGAAAAAACGAGACAAATAGAAAACATTATAAACCACAGGTGACATCAGGCCTTGACGACTGCAGCCTCTGGTGTAAAACTCTCAGTCCTTTATAGCTGCCCACCAAGTCCTCCTCAGGCTCAACCATGCCACCAGGTAAGCTGGATGTCATGTTCACAAAAGGAAAATTGTCATGTGATAAAAAGTTTTAAAAAGCTGTCATGGGTGAATAAATAATAACAACAATGTTCTCCGTTTTCTGTGATAATTAACTAGAGATCTGAACGTTTTGAGGTTGACGGCAGACCATCACAACTCAGCAGCACAAAGGCTGCAGGTTTGTTTCCTAGATTAAGAAGAATGCTGTGTCCTTTATACAAAAAGTGGTTAATAAAAAGTAGAAATACACCAAATAATGGATAGAAGTAAGAAAATATCGATATCGCAAATATCGTGATTTTTTTCCCTGCGATGTTATATTGATATTCAAAAGCCGTGTATCGGACTTTTGGAAGAATTTACATGCAAACATTTATGTATTTTCTTCTTTTGGTGCAATTCAGACGCCGACCACTAGTTGGCAGCAGTGTGCAATTGTTTCCACGACTGAAATGTAAATCCCTCTATTGAAAGGTTCATATATCTCATGTTAAACATGTTATGTATCAGTTTGGACAGTTTATTGAACTTTCCTATTGTGTGTGTGTGTGTGTGTGTGTGTGTGTGTGTGTGTGTGTGTGTGTGTGTGTGTGTGTGTGTGTGTGTGTGTGTGTGTGTGTGTGTGTGTGTGCGTGTGTGTGTGCGCGTGTGCGCGTGTGTGTGCGCGTGTGTGCGTGCTCTGTCTTCTCGATCCCCAGTGAGTCGTGGAGGATGGCTGCTTATACTGAGCCAGGATTCTCTGGAGGTTTCTTCTTGTTAAAAGGGAGTTTTCCTCTCCACTGTCGCTAAATGCTTGCTTAGTATGAGGATACAGTAGCTGTAACGTCACTGACACTAGTCAGTGACTTGATGCAACCTGATGGGTTCCTTATACCTGTATAGGAAACTTTTTTTCTAATTGGCTTAATGAACTGACCTGAATTAGAATGTTTACTGAAAAATAAATAAATAAATAAATAAAGGAATGTTTACTGTGTGAAGTGCCTTGAGACGACTTGTCGTGAATTGGCGCTTTATAAATAAACTTGAATTGAATTAATAAATTCAGTCTAAAGATAATAATAATAATCACTAATGTCTGACCGAATGTATCGCAGTATATCGTGATATATCGTATCATGATACGTATCGTATCACCATAATTTCACCAATTCACATCCCTGATGAATACAGAAACATCGAGTATAGTTCACCTAGTTTAAAAAAAATATATACAATTTCAGTTTGCTTTTACCTGCCAGTCGTGCCCTTGAGGACAGCAGAAACATCAGGGTTAAGCTAACTGGATTAAATTGGACCTGTAATGGTATTAAGTCTTTAGATTCTGATTAATCACCAGCCTCATAACCCATAAACTCAGCCAGCCCACCCTCTGAGTCGGCCACGTCAGACCTGCATGCTTTTATCTTATGTTAAATCCTTTCTTTTAACAAATTCATGCAAGTAGACAGTAAAGTGTGATGCTTTGGGGATTGGTTTTGGCTCAAAAGGCTCTGAAGTAAATAATAAAAATTATGCATGAAGAGTACCTAAATATTCATCATTTCATAAATGTAAAATTTTGGTTTATCTGTTGTTTTTATAAGGTGAGACGGAATTAAAAGTTAAATCAATGGTTAGTGTTGACAATCGGATGGTCACGTTATTACACATAATCCAGCTTGACTTTCATCGTATTTGGATGTTGTTGATGTGGGCAAATCACTCATCTAGCACCCACTTCCAATCTTCCTCCAACGCCTGAAACGTAGGCTCCTGCTGTTTAGCCGAGTGAAGAGCCACTCACCCAACAATCACCATTACACATTTTAGTAGGCATGCAATTTCATTAAAACACAGGAAAGTGGTACTGATAGATTTTATGTTTGAAAAGAACCAGCCGTGTTATGCAACACACGCATATATTCATTTTATTCTTGAAGAAATGTGATTCAAACCTTCATCGGCCATTAAAACTCCGAAGCTGCACAGGTTCAGAGAAGTCAAACTTGTATTTTAGACAGGATTCCTAATTATTTATAACTCATTTACTGATTTGTACTCTCGTGAATTTTTTTGCTAAATCAAACACAAATTTGTAATCTAATGTTTGCTGCTGGCTGTTTCTGCAGCTCACCAGAAACGTGTTCCGAACCCGACAAGCAAAAATCACATAAGAAAGCGAAGCTGCTCGTCCTCACCTTCACCTTGTCCCTGCAGGCTTACAGTGCTCTGTGGTGGACTTGAAACTGTTGGATGGTGTCTGAACCCCCGGACCTCTGCAGTATCACCGAGTGCTGCCCGGGGACATCGAACGGCGAGCGATAGGAGCCAGACGGGGCATTGACATTTAGCTAACAAAGAGCACGGTAACGCCACCCGTTAGAGGTCGTAGGTGAGTTGATTGCAAGTCATATTGCCGTGTATCAGATTAGCTGCTGACATTTTTATTTTATTTTTTATCATCATCACACTCACAGTTATCCCCGCTGCCTCTGTGAGGTGTCAACCCCACATCGACTGCTCTCTCGGTGCATTTACACTCAATCACAAGATCAAGGAAGTGCTAAAAACGGGATGGGGTTGAAGGCCATTCCACATCGTCTATAGTTTGCTGAACACTTTCATGGGCTTTTAGAAAATTGCTTCTGTGCTTTTACTGCGTTCTGATGCACATGGATGATGAGTGTGACTCAGACAGAGCTTCAGTGATTATTTCATTATATCTGGATCAATACGGCATTGATTAACCCTGTAAGCAGGCAGCTTGGTAATGTACAAAGTCTTCAAAAATAAATGTAGAGTTTTTTTTTTTAACCCTTTGATGCATAATGGTCACTACAGTGGACAGGTATTCAAAATTGTTATTTATTTATTTTTGCTATTAAGCACAGCTTTTGAAGACTTTATTGCATGTGAGCCCCTCCATTTGGACTTCAGTAAGGCAAGCCACCATATTTCATGTTCAGAATGCACGTTGTCCACTGAGATGGACATGTAATAAAGTATTTGTAAATTAACAAAATGTTACCAAAAATATTTGCTGAAATTTGTTTCATTCACACCTAAAGATGAATGAAAAAAATTGTTTAAAAAATCATGGTTGAAGATCTCATAATTCATGCATCCGAGGGTTAATATGGTTTTGATCAAATATCCTCAGCTACATCATTAAACTAATTGCGGTCTGATTGGTGTCGAACAAAAAGATCAGTTATGGTTAGTTAAGGGTCCGAAGGCATCAATCTAGGCTGATATACGAAGACAAATACAAGCTAGTTTCATGCATTGTGTTTAACCTGTTTAACCCTAACACCCCCCAATAGGGGGCCTCTATAGTTTCATGTCCCAAACCAACACATTCTCACTCCCAGCGCGTCAAAAACAAACGCCTGGTCAGCCACCCTCCACGTCAGACCCCTGACGCCAAAAGTGCCCTTTTTCGTTACTTTTGTGCGAAAAGGGGTTTTCCCCTTATTTGACTGCAGATCCCAAAGCAGCGTTACACTGAAGCGATGGGATGTCCGCAGCCAGGGCACCAAACAAGCTCATTGTACCTCACCTTAACCTTATCCTCTTATTTAACCTTCCCCTCACCCCTATCCTAACCTTAACCATCTTGCTAGCGAACACGTTAGCGATGTGTCGATCGCTCTAAAAGCCGGCTCTATGAAGTGAACAGCGGGAGCCGCCTCGTGATTGGTCGAGTTTGGACCGAGCCAACGTGAGGGGGAGGTTTCAACTACCACGGTGGAGGTTAAAAGTAGAGGGTATGTGTAACCTCCCCCTCGCCAGATGGTATGTTCTAACGTTCCCCTTGGGCGGCAAATACGAAAATTGACAGTGAGACTCTGACTGTCAGAGTCAGAATACGTGGGAAATAAACGCTTGATCACAGTGAGAGTAACGTTTTAGGTAGCAAGAGGGTTAAGGTTAGGATGAGGGAGAGGGGAAGGTTATAAATAGTGAAACGTTGAGGTTTAGGTGCGGTTAAATGAGCTGGTTCGGTGCCGCATCAGCGGATATCTAATCACGTCAGTTTTACGCTGCATTGAGATCTGCAGTTACAAAAGGGGAAAACCCCTTTTCGCACATGAGTAACGAAAAAGGGCACTTTTGGCGCCTGGGGTCTGACGTGGAGGGTGGCTGACCAAGCGTTGGTTTCCGACGCTTAGGGTGTGGGAATGTGTTGCCCAAACACCTAACACCTTGTTGTAATTGTTTTTGTTTTTTTTTGTTTTTTGTTTTTTTGACAAAGTGGAACTTTTATTTCAAAAGGTGGGCAGTGAAAAACAATACTGGTTGAACAAAAAATCAATCAATCTTTGGATACGTAAAAAGCCCTTTACAACCCCCGTTCCCCTTCCCTTCAGTCTTCCGAGGTTCCTTCTGAGGGATCTTTGGTCTCCTTGTTCTTTCTCACCTCTTCCAACTTCTTGTCCTTTTCTTTGAACTTCCCATTCATAGCTGCCATAAGCGCCGTGCGGTTCTCTTTGTTGGCTTCCATCTTCAGCTGGAGCTTCTCCTCCGCCATCTTGCTGAAGTTGTGGTTCTCCGTAGCTTTCTGTAGCACTTCCTTTTCAAGCTCCCGCTTCTCAGCTAAGTGCTTCAGAACCTCAGCTTCGTGATTCTTGCGCCTCTCCTCTGCAGCATCAAGCTTCCTCTGAATTTCCTCCAGAGAGACATCCTTCTTTTTGGGGGGCGACAGGGGGAACTCTCCTTTACCATCAGGAGCAGGAGCACCCAGGATCACCTCAAAAGCCTGGCCGGAAGCCCGCTTGTCCAGCTCCTTGACCTGGATGTCTTCAGCAGATGCCATTTTCAGTGTATGCTGCAGGTCAAAATACCTTCAACAAGCTGAGGATGCTGCACTCCTTCTACGGTGAAGTCTCCACGAGCTCCCTCCTGTTATTGTTGTTGTTAGCCTCAAGGGCAACATGCCGATTATCACTTGTAAGTCGCTTTGGACAAAAGCATCTGCTAAATACACATTCTCCAAACACAACTAAACCCACAATCAAACACACCAGATGGGAAACGAGGCCATTTTAAATTGTAATAAATTAAGATACAATGATGTTTGAACTTTATTTTAGAAGAGCATCTGACCTTCAGTGGTGTCTGCTGGGAAAAAAAAAATAAATAAAAAAACCTTGAACGAATTTAGTTGAAGACTCCTGGAATAAAATAAAACAATTGAAATAATTGGGACATGAAACTCCGAAGGCCCCCAATTGGGAGGCGCCAGGGCCCAAAGAAAAAAGGCCTAGGGTGTAAAGGGTTAAAAAGTATGCTGTGAGTTATTGCAGTTAATAAATCTTTTATTTGTGAAACCCGTCCCGTAAAGTCCCATGCAATTTCAATTGACCACCATTCAGCATCAGCCAATACTGTTAGGCATCCGCCTACATACACATGTCAATCACAGAGCGTGCGCGAGTGTTTGAGGATGTACCTAGAATGATGCACCAGGGACCTTTCTCATTGACAAGTAAGTAATTATATATATATATATGTGTATATATATATATATATATATATATGTATATATATATATATGTATATATATGTATATATATGTATATGTATATATATATGTATATATATGTATATGTATATATATATGTATATGTATATATATATATATATATATATATATATATATATATGTATATATATATATATATGTATGTATATATGTAACTCCTTCTAGCCCAACCATCTCAAGCCCTACTGCTTCATTTTCCTCTTTTTCCCCTCTCACTGAGAACTGTGTGTCCAAGATTCTCACGTGCAGCCGCCCTACTACATGCCCACTTGACCCCATTCCGACTAAGCTGCTCCAAGCTATTGCTCCTACAGTTGCCGCAGCATTCACACATGTGATCAACGCGTCACTGACATCCAGTACATTTCCCACCTTCTCAAGCATGCTCAGGTTAAACCGCTGCTAAAAAAAACATCTCTTCCTCCAAATCATGTGGAGAACTACCGACCTATTTCTCTCCTCCCTTCTGTCCAAAATCATTGAAAGGGTGGCTTTCAAGCAGATCACAGAATACCTCTCACAAAACTGTCTGCTTGACCCTTACCAAACTGGGTTCAGAAAGGGCCACTCCACTGAAACTGCTCTGTTAGCAGTGACTGAATCCTTAAAAGAAGCTAGAGCGACTGCCAAATGCTCAGTGCTTATCCTGCTCGACTTATCGGCTGCATTTGACACTGTCAACATGGCTTCCTTTTGTCCACACTCTAGCATGGGCATCACAGAGAAAGCACACGCCTGGTTTGAATCGTACCTCACAGGACGATCATTCAGTGTATCTTGGCTTGGACAATCCTCTACCGTGCACCATCTTGCCACAGGAGTCCCCCAGGGCTCTGTGCTAGGACCTCTTCTCTTTGCCATATACACCACCTCACTGGGTGAGATCATTCGATCACATGGCTTCTCCTACCACTGCTATGCAGACGACACCCAGCTCTATCTGTCATTTCCACCGAACGACCACACTGTCTCTGCAAGAATATCAAACTGTCTCTCTGACATATCAAAATGGATGAAATCCCACCATCTCCAACTCAACCTCTCTAAAACTGAACTGCTTGTCATCCCAGCAAAACCGTCCATACAGCACAATATCTCAATCCGAAATGACTTCCTATCTCTGGCTTCTTCAAAGGCAGTTCGAAATCTGGGTGTTGTGATTGATGAACACCTGACCTTTAAAGATCATCTTGCCTCTGTTGCTCATTCATGCCGCTTTGCGCTGTGTAAGATACGAAAGATCAGACCATATCTAACACAACATGCCACCCAGCTCCTGGTGCAATCTACTGTCATCTCCCGCCTCAATTACTGCAATGCCCTTCTAACTGGTCTTACACGCTGTACTGTGAGACCTCTTCAAATGGTCCAGAACACAGCAGCGCGTCTGGTCTTCAATCAGCCCAAAAGAGCACATGTCACCCCTCTGTTCATTGAGCTCCACTGGCTACCGCTAGCAGCACGCATCAAATTCAAATTGCTAGCGCTAGCATACAAAGTCTGAGATGGTACGGCTCCCATCTACCTGAATCCTCTTGCAAAGGCTTACGTCTCGGCCCGGCCGCTCCGGTCATCACAGGATGGTCGGCTAGCAGTGCCTACACCACGCTCAGGACAACCCAGACTCTTCTCATGCATCGTTCCACAAATGTGGAATAACCTTCCAAGCACTACCAGAACAGCGGCTTCCTTTTCTATTTTCAAGAAACTCCTGAAGACCCTGCTCTTCAGAGAGCATCTTATTAACTAGCACCCTCCCTGCACCCGTCCCCCCTCTCTACTGTCCACCCCTTGTTCCCTCCTCTCCATGACTGATGTCAAGTTGTTGTTGTTATTGTTGTTGTTAGCCTCAAGGGCAACATGCCGATTATCACTTGTAAGTCGCTTTGGACAAAAGCGTCTGCTAAATACATAAACATAAACATGGCCTGTATTTGATATAGCACCTTCTAGAGTCCTGGAACCCCTCAATGCTCTTTACAACACAATCAGTCATTCACCCATTCACACACACATTCACACGCTGGTGGGGATGAGCTACGATGTAGCCACAGCTGCCCTGGGGCGCACTGACAGAGGCGAGGCAGCTGAGCACTGGCGCCACCGGTCCCTCTGACCACCACCAGCAGGCAACGTGGGTTAAGTGTCTTGCCCAAGGACACAACGACAGCGACAGACTTAGCGGGGCTCGAACCTGCAACCTTCCGATTACGGGGCGAGCACTTAACTCCTGTGCCACCGTCGCCCCATACCCTATATTGTGTGTGTGTGTGTGTGTGTATGTGTGTGTGTGTGTGTGTGTGTGTGGTTCCTCACCTCTTCTCCTCAGGTGTGACAGGCAGGCCGCACCAGGTGCCATCGATCAGAGGCAATTAAGGTGGAGCACTTAAAGCTGGCCGGAGGAGGAAAGCAGATGCCAGATGATTAAGCCACACAGCTTGCCAGCCCGACTTTCTGAGTTGACAGGATCTCCCAGCGTCTTCCCTGAACCGTGGTGTCTGCTTCACCCAGTGCTCCTCCTGGCTGCAGTGCTTCAGCCTTTTCATCCATGCCCTGTTGGATCCTCCTCTTCTCCACCTGCCTGTCCACCCTCGAGCCTCCAGCAAAATCTCAACCTCAGCCTGCCACACTCCCACACTGGACCTCACCTCCTCTCCAAACACTCCTCGCCACGCAGACCAGTAAGCTCACCCCCTTCAATTCTATTATAAGAACAGTCTCCTTGCTCCTCGACTCACCTTCTGTTTCCCCTTCAGAACCGCCTCTGCGAACCCGTCCAGAGTTCCTCCACCATTCTGAGAACCCGCTGAACTTTCAATAAAACTGTTAAACTTTCTCCTGTGTCCGGGTGTGTTCGCTCCAGAGTGTCCTAGAGAATCATGACATATATATGCATTGGGGTGACGTTAGGTGTGGCGACCTACAAGAGGGTGTGACCTACATCTTTAGTTCACACCCTCTTGCATTTGATCAATAAAACGACTCCCACACAATAGAGGCTAACAACTCATCAGGAGGTAGGAAGGAGGGGTATTCATAGGCAGTTTCAGCTCGTTAAACCAAGAGCTACAACTGTACAGACAGCTACAGTTTATATGCTTGACTCATATTCCACTAAGAGTTGAAAAAGCTACTCAAATGAGAAGTGAAACACCTTCAAGACACCAAAGACGTCCAGTTGCCTTCATTCGACCCCCTTTGGTCCTTAAAAATGTGTTTGAGCTGTGTGGGTTGGCTAGAGGTTTATGTTCATGAATGATAGGCGTTGACTTCAGCGATAAAAGTGGAAGCAGGGAGACGGGCATTAGGTGTGAAACATTTGTCCGCCTCCATTTGGTGCTGTTGGATAACAAAATGATAGATTTGTTCATTTAGATCAGACTCCCAGTCAGATCCATCCATGGTAACAGATCCAAGAGGGAAACCCTGGCATCCCTCTTACTGCTGACTCTGTAGCTTCTCCTTGCTCCCATGCCCTCCAACAGCTTCTGGGCCTAGCCTGGGGTCTCTTCTTTGTGGGTCGTGCTAGGAAAACCTGCAGAATGATGCAACCAGGATGGATCCAATGGAAGCACAAACCATGTTACCAGACTCATTTTATTGAGGCGGACCAGCTCTTTTCAAGCTTTGCTGATGAACCTGAGACGTGTTGGTCTTTCTCCACAGTGCCATCACATGACTCACCACGCGCCAGAAGAGAAATCAAAGGGAGGTCCAGTGGAAGCAAGGTTGGGCATGCAGGCCAGGGCATGGGTGGGCTTTGATGATAGCATCATCCCGAAACCTTAAAGAAAAAGACCTACAGCCGATTTTTACATCAGGCTCTGTTAGATAATAATTCATAGCATATAAACAGGGAAAAAATGTCTTTGTGGGATTACAAAAACTGGTAATTTAAACAGTAATTGCCTCATTTACATGTAAATTGTTACAGAAGTTGAAGAATTAACATATAAAAAGTACACCTATACCCTCGCTGCTCTGCAATATCAAGAAGTAAGTGCATCATCCCTCATTGTCCTATTACTTTCCCATTTCCTCCCAGGCATGTGCTGACACACAGACTTTGTTCCACAGAGCAACAGCTGAATAATTTCCATTGACTTCCTGGTGCATTGGACACCGGAGGCATATTCATAAAAGGAAGGATCTAGAGCATTAATTCACATGATTTCATTAAAGATGCGTGATTGCATTAAGCCCATTTGTTAAACGACAGCAGTGGTGTGTACGGCGTGTGTGTGTGTGTGTGTGTGTCCATTTCACCCTGACGTGTAATTTGATTCGGGGAATTTCCAAGCTTACTTCGTCACTTCATTAACTAGAGAGGAGTTTCACT